AAATATATAACAAAATTAATATTATTATTATTAATATTATTATTAATATTATTATTATTATTAATATTATTAATATTATTATAATCAACACACATTTTAATTTTATTAGATGTCAACAAGCGTTTTCCATGTTTAAAGTATGAATAAAATTGATGAAAGTTGAAACAAATTTTCTTCCCCGTAAGAATAACATTGTGTCGTCTGTTTGTTGTTCCTCCAGGCCTTTGACGTCATATATTGAACTCGAAATATCTCGATGAACTGACACAGCCTAATGACCGTACCTTCAACGTACAAGTACCTTTACATGCTAATCATTTGTAGGCATGTGTAAACTTACCTTTATTCACTTGCCACAGACAGTAATGCAGGTTAGTGTATTGCACTTTATTTCTAAAAGAAGTTTTCTATAACTGAAACTGTTCAATACTTATAAATTTTTGCTCGTTTCTCACGCGAAATTCATAATAAAATTAATTATTACAGTTAAAAGTGGGATAAAATTAAGAAATTAATTGATAAACTTTCCAGTTAGTATATGCCAGTCATGACACTCGAACTTTGATCCCAATTTAAGGATCAAAAATTGATCCAGATTTTCGGATCATTTTTAAAAATGATCCAAATTTTCAAGTCAATTTGATTCTTTTTATGAGATCAAAATGTTGCAAGCCAAAATGACACTTTTAAAGTAACTGTGTAATGCAAAATAAACAGAAAGCATTAAACATTTGTGCGATTCCAGGTGAGATTTTGACTTTTTCGGAGTAGGTTAACCGATTGTAATGAAACTTTGAAATTTTGTTATATATAGTAAGACTAATCTTTAACGTAAATTTCAGCTTAAAATATTTGTTAGTTTACGAGATGTGCATTAATAACAAAAAATTTTAAACTGATATATTTTTTGCCGTTCTAAAATAATCGGATTGAGGTCTACTTTTTTTTAAAAATGTCAAGGTAAATGAGAGAAATAAATCTATTTCAGAACAATTTTTTATAATTTTACAACTAAAAATATTATTAAATAATAATTGAATAAATTTCGCGGCTAAAATGATCTTACCGGTGTTTTCTTTAATGTTCCAAAGGAATCCAATTGTAAATGCAAGTTTAACTTATTTAATTTTAATAATTTATGAGTATAAACAATTGCGATTTCTGCTAGTTGACGAACAGACGACATTGCGCACGCAGCATTCTCACGTAGCCAATTTAGTCCACGAATCACGTCAGCTGGTTACAGGAGAATACTGCGTGCGCAATGTCGTCTGCACTTCAACTAGCAGAAATCCCAATAGACCTTTTCATGCTGATCGTTCTGTCCTTATCTAGCGCATACAATGACACATGAGTTGGAAGAGGACAGAATGATCTGCATGAAAAGGTCTATTGTTTATACTCGTAAATTATTAAAATTAAATAAGTTAAACTTGCATTTACAATTGGATTCCTTTGGAACATTAAAGAAAACACCGGTAAGATCATTTTAGCGTTTAAGTGATTGAATTTTAGATTAACGCGCGAAATTTATTCAATTATTATTTAATAACTTTTTTAGTTGTAAAATTATAAAAAATTGTTCTGAAAGAGATTTATTCCTCTCATTTACCTTGACATTTTTTAAAAAAAGTAGACCTCAATCCGATTATTTTAGAACGGAAAAATATAGCAGTTTAAAATTTTTTGTTATTATTGTAAATCTCGTAAACTAACAAATATTTTAAGCTAAAATTTACGTTAAAGATTAGTCGTACTATATATAACAAAATTCCAAAGTTTCATTGCAATCGGTTAACCTACTCCGAAAAAGTCAATCTCACCTGGAATCGAACATTTATTAAATTATTAATTTTTTGTTGGATACAAAAAACAAAATTTAAAAAAAAATTGAAGGTAAAGAATTAAGAAACCAATTTTTCGTTCATTTTCATGATTTAATATTTTGAACATTAAGAACTTGAAGAATATTATTATTTAATAATTTTCATAAATAATAATAATAATAATGATTATTATTATTATTATCATTTTTATAATAACAGTAATAAATTTGTTTTCATACATAGTTATAATTATTATTAAGTACTATGTATTTATGAAAACAAATTTACAACTTATTATAATAACGGACAACATTAATAATTATTGATCTGGATCAGATGAGAAGGCTAAGGAAATTTTTATCAATTAGAATGGCGATGAACTGTGAGTCACATTGGAAGAAAGTGAGATAAAATCCTACCTCCTCGAGTTTCTTGCGTTTCACTTAAAGTGTAAAACTGGAAGTGTGTATACGAACAACTTTCATCAAGAATTAAATAAAAAATTATTAAAAATATTTTTTTTAAACAAAAAAGTATTTGGAAAGTATTTTTGAAATGTTTTGGATAATTTTTTGTTATTTATAATTTTAATTACATAGAATTAGAGAAAATTTGTTGAGGCAACCAACTTAATGGAAAATTAAATAATAATTACTTTTTAAGTATAAAAAAAAAGGATTAAATTCATCCCATTATATCGTTAATTGGAAATGTAATTTCTAAAACACTATAATTTATTCTATATTACATTATTATTATTATTATTATTATTATTATTATTATTTAAAGTCTTGATAAATCAGTAAACTTTAACGAACACAAATTATTTATTTTTATTATTATTATTGTCATACAATTACTATATCATATACTAAAACAGTTGCGCTATTTTTGGAAACAATAATGATAAATTATTAATTCAATTTTCCTGTTAAAGTTATTTATAAATTTCATTGATTTAGAAAGACATTAGAGCAATTCCATGGGATGTGATCACAAGAATTTTTGATGATTGGAGCAATTTTATTGAAACCGAGATTGAAACCTTGTGAATATGTTCCTTTATTTGTACAGAATGAAAGCCCACAAACAATTTTTCAAAATTTTCAAAATTTTTTGAGATACAACATGTCTGAACGCAGAATTTCATAGGGATTACGAATTTTATATACTGAAAATTAATGGTCTCATTAAAGAAAACCACTTTTTTCATTGTATGACCCAACATTGGGCCCCGGGCACAATTTTTTGGTTTCAAAGATGTAGATCTTTTTGTTTGGAACAACTTTTGTCTTGAACATTTTTTACGAAAATTCGTACTTTTCGAGATATTTGCAAGTTTCTATACTATATAATCATGGACGTGAAAACTAAAATGTGCGCGTCCCGTCGTTTTAATTTTTTTCTCGCAAAGTTCTTGCTGTCCCATTATGAAAATTAGAGAAGTTATTCTTAACATCATAGGCAATAAGTAGAAAAAAAATTTTTGAAATCGAAGAGGTAGTTTTTTCAAAAAATGAATTCAAAATTTTTTTTTGGCATTTTTTCCGGGCAAAAAAAAATTTTTTTTCATGAACTATTTTTTTCTTAAAATAGCATATATCTTTTTGTGAGAAATTTGAAAAAAAAATTGATCTCATTTGGATAACAAGAAAAAAAGTTACATGTTTTTTTTTATGACATAAATTTTTAATTAAAGATATCTCAAAAAATTTTGAAAATTTAGAAAAATTGTTTGTGGGCTTTCATTCTGTACAAATAAAGGAACATATTCACAAAGTTTCAATAAAATTGCTCCAATCATCAAAAATTCTTGTGATCCCATGGAATTGCTCATTAATAATAAATATCAATAATAATTACTATAATAATTTTATAAAACGATTGATTGGAATATAATTCAGTTATATGCTCTTGCAATATTCTCTCTCTACCATTTGAGATGCACAGCTATCATTTCAGGGTCTTTAGTGTCAGAAGTGTCTCGTTTGCAATTAAAGAGGTAATTATTTATTCAAGGTTGCCACGCGTTATAATAATAATAAAAAAAAAAAAAGATACATCTTTCTATTTCTCTTGCACCTTTACTGACTTACATTGTTTTTATAATATATATTTATAATTCAAGATCATAATCTGTAATGTACAAACGTCAATGCAATTATTCGACTAAAAAGTATATAAGTGTTTTTTTTTTTCAAATTGCACACTAAAGACGTTATAATTTCTTGTATATTTATTTGAAAACAGTGGAAAATAGTTTTGATGTATGAAAAAAAGAAACATATAATTGAGAAAATTTATTTGCAATGATAAAATAACGGTATACATTGGATACGATTATTATTATTATTATAATTACCGCATTAATTAAACATTAATTAAACTATATTAAAAATATTAAATGATGAAGCAATTATTATTGTTATTTTGGAACGTTGGTAAAGTTTGCGTTAAGTTACTTATTATTTCTATGTTTTGTTATATTTATTTTATTATGTATACGGGTATCAGTGACTCATAAGTTCAGGTATAAAGAAGAATAAGTTTAAATTCCTATCTCTTTGTACTTGAAAATTTCGACGTAGATTTAGAAAAAAAAACGGTACTATCTATTCTTTTGTAACTATTGAAATAAAGTCACTTTAAACTAAAATGATTCATTCGCAATGATAACAGATTTTTAAGACGCATTTTTTTAAATTTCTAAAAATATATGACATGATAATCAATCAATGAAAAGCACATGATTTCAGAATATATGTATATATATATATATATATTTGCATTCTTTGTTCATAAGTAGGTAATTAAATTAATTTTTATTGGAAAAATAGCTTTATAATTTAATTAATTTTTAAATAACTTATAATTTAAATATAATTTTAATAAAAAAAAAAAATTAATTTTGTAATATTTTACATTTTGTTTCCTGTTTTTTGAGAATTTAATCATGAGGGAAAAATCAACTGCGGAAGATTATATTTTTATAGAAAAAATTTTCCATTCCTAAATATTAATCTTAAATTTTTGACAGTTATTTACAAAGCATGTATATACATATATATATAAAATATGAAAATGACCATTGAGATTTATTATCTTTTAAATGAAACATTATATGTGTGGCGCATTACTTTTTTTTCAAAAAGAACTTTTCTTTTTCTGATGCAGACAGTGCCAATAAAGATATTCAAAAATCAACCGAAGAACAAGATTCGACAATTTCTGAGTCTGGCCCAGGTACAAATAATACAATGACAAATAGTAAACGTGCCAGAAAGAAGAGACGTGAAGCTCAACAGGAATTTAATCACTCTTGGATGGTGGGAGCATTAAAGGGTCACACAGCCCCCGTTCGGGATATCAATTTTTCCAGCAATGGAAAATTTCTTGCAAGCTGTGCTGAAGGTAAGAATGAAGAAATTTTTTTTTGTTTTATATGTTTTTTTTTTTTTTTTTTTTTTTAACAGCTCATATATACCGAATGTTCAGGTGAACGAAATGTTTTTGGCTATGATTCAAATATTTATATTCATCTCAAAAATGTTGTTATTTTTCTCTACATTTGCAATAATTGAGAAAGAAATTTTCTTTGATAAAATTTAAAGAAAAATATAAATAAAAATTAAATTTTTTGATTATTAGTGTAAAATAATTATTTAATTTATTTTCATAATTTACTCTGTTTCTCTATGCGGTGCTATATATATATATAGTGCATATTATGCGCCCACACTGGCGCCAAAAGAATATTTTTCTCAGTCATCAAAAAAAAAAAAATATAAATAAATAAATATTCTCAAATTAAAAATAAATACTTGGCATCTATTTTAGAATATTTTAATGCAATTTATTCTTAAATACCATATATATTCTAAATTTAAAATTTTATTCTTAGCATTAGTATTATTTTAAGGGTGTATATTTTTACTTTTAAATTTCATTTTTATTGTAAGTTAATATATACTAACTCTAAGAATAAATTTTATTAAAACATTCTAAAATAGTTGTTAACAATTTTTTATTTTAGAATATTTTTTTATAATTCATATTTTATGAAATTTTCAAAATAAATTATCAAATAATTATTTTCTTTAAAAAAAAAAAAAAATCAAAACTTTCGTTTCCTTGAATGTTCTCTGGCACATTTTTTTCGACTTTTTATGCCCGGGTTTTGGTGCTTATTATTATATATAAATAAATTTTTTAAGCTGTATGTATTTGTTTTGTAACAAAATTCCTGCATTTTTGTTTGAAAAAAAAAAACCTCTAAATAAACAATTTTTATTATTCATTATGTCACGTTATCACTTGAAATATTCTGGATTTAAAATATAAATTTTTTTTTCATATGGTTTCAAACAATTGAAATTATTTTTCTTTTGTTGAGAATTAGAAATTTTGAATTTTGAAATCACATCGATTATTACTTTTTCTATGTATAAAAGAAGTGTCGCAACAAATTTAGGACTATGAAAACATTAATAATTTGAGAAAATATATATTAAATGTAAAATATTTATTATTTTGCAAAATTGAATTAAATAGATAAATTATTATTTATATAATATTCATAGTTTTACAACAAAAATAATAATTTATTTTATCTTTAATTGTGCTAAGTTTTATTTAAATAAATTAATTAAAAATAAAAAAATTAATGAGAAAATTTAGAATAAATAAATAATTGTATAAAAAAAAAATTTCACCCACGTTTGAACGTTTAGAGAATAAATCATTGAAGTCATTATAAAACTGTATCAAACATACTAAAGAGACTAAACTTGCAATTCAAATTAATTTTCACTTTTAAATTACTTTCTATTTCGTTTTATATACACATATATATATATATATATTCGATTGACAAATATTTTGACACTTAAAAAAAATATATATTCCGTTAACAAGAAAACAAAAACAATTATTTTGCAACAAACTCTTTTTGTTTTGTCAAAATAAAATATTGTTTATATGAAATTTTGTTGAATATTTATTCATGTTAAATATAAAATATGTTCTGAGTATAAAAAATCATTTTTGGTGTAATTTTGAAAAAAATTATTATTGTATAAAAATTTAAAAAAAAAAATAATAATTTTTAGCTGTTTTTGTTTTCTTTTATTATTATTATTATTTTTTTTTTTTTTTATTAATTTCTAAGAAAGCACAAGACCAAAGAGGAGCTTAATTTGCTCACTTTCTGTACTTGATTCAGATAACGGTAATCAGTATACGTATATGTGTGTGGATAAAGTGCCACAGTAACCCACTCTCGATAATATTTGCAATCTACAGTTTATATTTAATACCTGGAAATATTTTTTAAAAACATTACGTTCATGGCACTTTTAACTGTATTTATATATATATATATGTAAATACATCGCCACAATGAAATCGTGATTATTTTGTTCTTTATTGTCATATAATGTGTTGAAGACGAGGGAATGACTTTCTTGTTACTGGAGAGAAAGTGAAAGTGTCAATTCAACATATAAATAAGAAAATCTATACTTTACCACTTCTTCGTAACTTTGAGAATCACTTTTGATCATTGTAGGTACATACACATAAAATGTTATTTTTTTTTATTATTTAAAACCCAAGAGATGAGATTTAAATCTTTTATTAATTAAATCACACACTTAATTAATTATAATTAATACATAATTATCAATTAATTATTTAATTGATAATTATATAATTTAATTAATTATTTAATTGATAATTATATAATTTAATTAAAAATTAAATATATATTTACTAAATTAATCAATGCAATTTAAATTGTTAATTCTCTTTCTTTTTTATCAAAAAATTATTATTCTTTTCTCTCAAGAATTGTATGTGACATAAAAAATGTCTCGCGACAAACAATAGTGCTTTTTAGATCGGTGGTAATGAATTTATTAAAAAAAAAAAAAAATGATAATAAAAAGAAGTCGAGTAGAAAAGAGAAATTTTATTTCAAAAATTATATAATTTAAAATTCTCGAGTTCGTTAAGTCACTCTAATAATCTTAAGTAATGAATCTCGTGTTTCATTGTCCGGAAAATATTAGTAGGAAGCGAGAGTCTTCAGTTTACTATTTTCAGTTTTAAGATTTGAAAAAAAAACGTTTTCCTGTTTTCCTTTAAGTGTTTACTTTCTAATTGAAAAACTGACAAAGTAATACAAAAAATGAAAGAATAGACAATAATGCTTTTTTTTCCTCTATCATTAAATTTTGTTACAATATACAACGCCAATTTTCAATTTTTTAAATTTTTATCATTATTTGTCATTTATTATTATTCACTATTTATTAGTTTTTAATGAAGGTATAAATTTCTTTTTTTTTTGCTAAATATTAATTAATATTTTTATTTTATTTAAATTATAATTATTTATTAGTCAGTGAATTTTCATTTTTAAATTAAATAAATATTCAACTGAAAAAAAAAATATATATATATATATATATATATAAATGTAAAAGTATAGAAAATCATTTGGCAAAAAGGTGAAGAACCTGTTAATCGTTTAAAGCGTCAATTAACGCGTAAATTTTCCTTGTAGACATTTTAATATCGTTTTGTGCAATTTTTTTTTTTTTTTTTATTTTCATTTTAATGCGATCATGTGCCCAAGATAGACCATATTGTATGTTTTATCTTGATTACATTTAATCCTTTCATAAATGCACATTCCGCGCATAAAGTTTTTAATTAGAAAATAGCGGATATAAAAGGTCGTAAAATAATTGCTGGTTTTAACGCGCTGCACGCGATAATAGAGACGCATTAAAAGTCCTCATCATCAGATTCGAAAAATCTTGCTCTTATAGACTTTTACTGCTCTAAGATATTGAGATCATTTTTCCTGTTTGCTTTCATTATCTCCATTTGTGTGTGCCATGATACCTTTATGTATTACTTTATTTCATTACAAGTTTTCCTTTTCCTCGCGTGAAATAGTTAAAAATAATGCTCTAGTTTCGATTAATAATTATCATTATTCAAAATTTGTTTTTGGATAATTTTTTTTTTTTATACATAAAATGAATTTTTTTATTCAAATAATCGGTTACGTTTATTATCAAATTTATTAAATTTTATTCGAATCAAATAACAATAATAAAAAAAAAACAAATTTAATTATGTTTTATTTAATAAATAATAATTGTTTGATAGAAATAAATATATTTTATAACTCAAAGAACCGATTTTATTAAGAGGAAATAATTTTTTTTTATGTATATTTTTTTTTGTTTCTTTAAAAATAATTATTGTTTATTATTTATTTGTATACTTGTAAAATTTTTTAATTTATTTCTAAGATAAGAAAATAAATTGCGAATGGAAAATATAATTTTATGGTCATTATAAAGCTTAAGGTGAACAATAATGGTTTCTTTTCGAAAAACATTATAGAAAAGTTTTGTTTTGTAAATGGTATTTGTTAGTAAATGGCTAATGATAATTAAAGTACCTGATTCAATTTACGAAGGCGCCATTCAATAAAGACGGAAATCCCTAGATTTTTGGGTAAAAGGTGGAAAACTACCATAAAAATATATAATCCGTCTAGTAGATGTCATTAACTTCTTACCTGGACTCTCGCTGTTTTCCTGTCTTTTCTTTATATTTTGTTTTACGTTAATTGACATATATCATAAATATATTTTTCGAAAGGCGACAAATTAAAGGCGTCTCTTATTTTCTTTTTAATCCCTTCTTTACAAGTTTAAAATTTTTCATGTCAATACCATTCACTCTAAACTTTTCTTTTCATTAATTTAACAAACTAATAAAGTGCAAGTCAACAATTATCTGGGGAAATTTATTAGTCAATAATGTATGTCTTAATTTTTATTTGTTCGTTTAGAATTTCGGGAAGTCGTTGGCAAAGTTCCACAATGTTGATGATAAACGATTAAAATTAAAAATATTTTTCACTAGAAAAATAAATAATATTTTGTTTAAAAATTTTTCTAAAAATTGTTGATTTTAAAACATTGCAATAAATTGTTTATAGATGAAAAATTATAATTATTTACGCATATGAAAATATTTTTCTGCATTTATCGTTGATCATAAATTTTGTAAACTTAAAACTGATATATTTCGGTGACATCTAAAAAATTAATTTTTAACATTTGGAAAATTGGGAACAAAAATTGAAATTGGAAAAATGTTTTCTCTTTTGAGAAATTCATCTTGCAAATAAAATTAAAGAATTAGTAATTACTTTTTAAAATATTACTTTACAAAAAAAAAAACAAAATTAATTTTCGCTTTATACTCTCTAAATTTGAATCAGCGATAAGTATACCACTGGTACCAATCAGCGGATATACGGTGAAAAATCAGTGAAATTCCACTAATTCATCAGTGCATATAAGCTTATTAGAATCAGTGGTATAGCTGAGAATCAGCGAGATTCTGCTGATTCAAATTTAGAGAGTAATAATAAATTATTCAAGTGATTTATATTTAACAATATATTTATAATGTAAATGATTCTATTATTCATATTATTTTAAAAAAAAATAATTTTAACATCAAAATAAATGTTAAAATTTATTTGTTGAATTTTTTATTAAAATTAAATTTAATATTTTGATTTAGTGTATTAACCCCCTTTTGTTATCTTATAGTCACAAATATATCCGTGGTAAAATTTAAAAATATATTTTACTTGAATAACAATAAAGTAAATATTTATTTGTCCAAAAGAAAATTTGAATCAAAAAAATTATAATTTGGAGTAAAACATTTCGAATTTTATAATTTTAAAGAATTTTCATAACAAAGAAGGAAATTAATTTTTTTGTATTTGTTTCTTGTATGCAAAAATTAAATTAATGATTTTCCCCCATAACAAATATAGAGTTAAAAAAATCAAAATTTTGATAGCTTATAGTTTTAACTAATATAATCAGATTAAGAGAAGCTGGTGTTGGGCGCTCCTGTAGTTTAGAAAAGTAAAAAAAAAAACTGGCTTTAAAAAATGACTAACAAATCTCGTTATTAAAGAGCCATAACATTTTGAGATCCATGCGCATAGAATCGCAGATTGTCGAACAAAATTTTGCAAACTTTTTATCATTTTTTTCTTCTAAAAAAAAAAAACGACACATTCGCATGGTGTTATTGCTCTATGATTAGAGTTTAAAAATTGGCATCGCTGATGTTAACGCATCTGTTTTGTGTGTGATATAAAGATTGCGGACTTGCACCCGAAGAGAAGCTGGACCTGGTGAAGAGCAGCAATAGCAAGGCTTCCGAATCCTCTTCTTCCTCCTCCTCCTCATCATCATCATCATTATCATCGTCATCGTCGTCGTCATCAGCAAAGGAGCGTGAAGATCGAGCTCCCTTGAGTCGTCGTCAACGGAAAAATTTGACACGAGCATCACGGGAACAACGTCGAGAACATCAGGAACGTGATGGTGATCATAATGTGAGTCCAAGTGATTCGCCAATATTGCCGCGCAATCGTCATCATTGGCTACAACGGCAGGACCGTCATTATCAAGACGCCCCCAAGAAACCCAACCCTAAAGTCATTAAGAAAAAGGACTCCCACCACCACCACCACCACCAGAAGGATAATAAGAAAACGAAAACCAAAGATACCACCGAAAACATTAGTAGTAAACCTGCATCAGTCCTCACTGAAAATCCATCGAAGCAAGTCAAAATCTATACAAGTATGGTGCGTGAACGTTTGAGACATTTGCCAAATTTTGACATTGAGTATTTGCTTCAGCATTATGTACTCAATGAAGGACAAATGCTACACGGCAGCTATCCAGTAATGCAGAATAGTGATTGTAATTCTGTGATAATATGCTCGTTTGCGCGGCATCATCATTGTACAACATTAAATGGTTTAAATGCAAATGCAAGGGAATTTGTTCCAAAGAAAAAATTTCAAAATTCCTGGAAAGTAACGGAGGAAAATGAAATTGATAGTGGCAATGGCAGTGGAAGTTCCCTCGAGAATTCTGATCTCGAACAAGAAAGTTCATCGGACAGTGATAAAAGTTCGGATATCAGTGAATCATCATCGTTGTCATCATTATCGTCAATTGATTCAAGTGCAAATAATATTGTTCCGTGCATTTTACCAGGTCCAGTGACATTTACTGTTTCGCAATTATCATCAAATCATATATTAAGACAGTGTACGCGTTGCTCGCAGCCGTTTCGCGTTGATTCGCAAACCGGTGAATATGTCGAGTTCAATAAGTGCGTGTATCATTGGGGTAAACGTCGATTTGGCCTTTGGGAGTGTTGTTCACATCGTGGCGGTATATTTGATGATTCACAGGGTTGTGTTTTTGCTGATACACATGTTTGGTCGGGAATTATTTCTGAGGCAACGAATGGACCATTTGAAGGTTTTGTTACAACTCAACCAGCACCATTTGGACCTGAGAATGGTTATGGGGTTTATGCCATTGATTGTGAGATGTGTTACACAAAAAATGGATTGGAATTAACAAAAGTTTCGGTTGTTTCGTTAAACGGTAGTTTACTTTATGATCAATATGTCAAACCGTCTGATGATATTATTGATTATAATACAAGATTTAGTGGTATTACGGCAAAACATCTTCAAAATGTTAGCAAGACATTGAAGGATGTACAACGTGATCTTTTGCATTTTATTTATGCCGAATCAACACTCATTGGACATGGTTTGGAGAATGATTTGCGTGTATTGCGAATTGTTCATAAGAAAGCTGTTGATACGAGTATCGCATTTCTTCATGATGCGAGTTTTCTTTCGCGTAAGAGTCTCAAGTTTTTAGCGCATCACTTCTTGAATAAATCGATACAGGCCAGCACTCATGACTCGGCTGAAGATGCAAGGATAGCAATGGATCTTATGTTACGTAGAGTGCAGTACGACTACTATGGTGTCTAAATCATTCTCTGGGGTCGTTTTCAATGTAAAGGAAGCTGCAAAGAAGAAGGTAAGAATTTTTATTCAATTTCATTTTTTCTTTTTTTTTCTAACCCCTTGACAGTCGATGGCCCGTATATGTCCACATTAGAAAAAAAAATACTAAACATAATTCGATTTGAGTGTCAATGGATATACTAAGGTTTTCGGGGTCGCTAAATCCGAATTTGAGGTCAGATTTAAAAAATTTTAAATGGTGGACCCAATATGGCATTCAAAGAAATTTTTAAATTGACTAGATTTGCATAAAAGTGGTTCCTCTAGGGTTTTTGGCGTCGCTAAATCCAAATTTGAGGTCAGATTTAAAATATTCAAAATGGCGAATCCAATATGGCGGAAAAAATTTAAAATTGATTCGATTCGTTCAAAATTCGGTACTCGGGGGTTTTTGGGGTTGCTGAATCAAAATTTGATGTCAGATTTGAATTCAGAGACCCAAAAAACCCCCAAGCACCGAATTTTGAACGAATCGAATCAATTAACAATTTTTTCCGCTATATTGGGTCCGCCATTTTGAATTTTTAAAATCTGACATCAAATTCGGATACAGCGACTCCAAAAATCCCCGATTATCAAATTTTGAACGAATCGAATCAACTTTAAATTTTTCCGCCATATTGGGTCCGCCATTTTGAATTTTTTAATTCTGACCTTAAATTTGAATTTGGCGACTCCAAAAACTTTTAATACAATGATATGATATTTTTTTGGAAACTTTTTTTTTAGACCGTTTTAGGCTCACAAACGATTTTTCTATACTATAGACTGCAAAGGGGTTAATATCATTACAGTCGAACCTCGTTAACTGGGAATTGGATAAGAGAGAGAAATTTTCAATATTTCTTTATTAACTTTATTATACAATTGAATTCACAAAATAATTAATAATAAAACAGAAATTTTATAATTTATTTTTTTACAGTAATAAAAGGGCTTACACAAAATTAAACTGCCCTTTTGTAAATAATATGGTTCAAAATTTTATAAATGATTTTTTTTTAAATTATTTTATTTATTTGTTAATAAATTAATAGAGCATTACATAAAGTAATTCAATTTTACACGTTAAATTAAATGAAATTCCATTTTTTTTAAACATTTGGAATTTTAATAAAATTGAATTTAAAAAATAATTTGAAATTTATTGTTAATGAATTCTGTTGTGGTTTGAATTAATTTTTAAATTTAAAAACAAAAATGATATAATTTGGAAACAAAAAATAATATGTTTTTAATTTGAAAGGTTAATATTAGAGCTGTGCAAGTTTTTAAAATTCGAACCGCTCCATATAAGAATTAACATGGGCTCTCGAATCGAATATTCGATCCGAGCCCATACAAAATTCGAACTCTTGCACAGCTCGAGTTAATATAAATATTTTCCATTAAATGGATGTATTGTTTTAGAAATTCTAAATATTTTTAGAACAGATAAAGAATAATCTATATAAATAAAAATTAGACTAATAAAGAAATTTTGAAAGATCGTCTTTATATATATATTTTGTAACACATCAGAGTAAATGAGAATCATTAACTGTTACCTTTAATAAGGGTCGACTGTAATAATAGATATTTATTTTGTACTTTATAACATTACTAATTATTAACTATACTTTCCTCATTTTATTGATCTATTAACATTGAAAATTTTTAACAACGAAATTGTTTGTTTTTATTCATATTTTTTTCAACAAATATACTTCTCATATAAAACGAAAATTTATAATTGAATTAATACTATATTTATCTATCAAATCATATAGTGTGAATTATTTAAAAATTTTCTTCCAACTGAAGATAAAAAAATGTCGATTAAATTAAAATTTAAAGATTAACCTTATTTTTTAAAAATTGAACAAAAAGTCGAATGAAATTATTGTATATTTTTATAATCTAATGTTTTCAATGTTTAGCTTAATAACTAAAAATTGATAAAATAATTAATTGATTTTCATTATCAAATTTCATTATACTCGATTCTATTATATGGAAATTCTATTTTACGAGACCTTATATTGATAAAGACGTTAAAAAAATGTTTCTTATATTTAAAAAATTTTTGAAATATTTTGGCAAAAGTAACATATAATAATAATAATAACGGTAATAATAATAATAATAAAACTTATTTTTCGAAATAAAACCGATTTGTAAAATTAAATATGAAAAATAATTATTATTTTAAATTAAAAAATAAGTTTATTATAAGACAGTGAAAAACGAATGAAAGAAAATTAATTAATATTTATTTAACTTTTTTTTAATAAATTATATTATTTTAATTGATAAACTAAAATTAAGAAATTTTTTTTAAATAACAAAATTTAATTTAAAAAACTTCAAACTTCAAGGGCAAAATGTTTTTAATAATTGTTTCAAAAACATTTGCATTTAAATGGTAATTTTTTGTAAACTTACAATTTTTTTGACAAACAAGAAAAAAAAAAGGTACACTCTTATTTGATAAGAGAATAAATATTTTCAAATAAGTTTAATTTTCAATAAAGATAAAATAAAAGTTTTCTTCTATTAAACATACAAAACTTCAAGGGCATCACCTGAACCGAACTACAATCAAACCAGATAATATACGTAACTGCCATAACTATTATACAGAACTTAAATAAAAATGCGACTTTTAAAAACTCAAGTAATGTCTTATATAAGACTTTTTTTATAATAAAGTATTAAACTGATTGTGAGTAAATAGTTTTTGCAATATTTTTCTGCAAATATAGATATTGCATAATCCAAAAATATTATATATATATACTTTATTATTATTATTATTATTATTTATTGTTGCATTTAGATTTTTTTTAATTTAATAAAAAATAAATACCACTAAAATAAATAATATAAAAAATGTATTTGACAATATAATTAGTAAAAAATTTCCTGTTAATAAAACAAAAATTATATATTTTTTTTATGAAAAAATGGTATTATAAATTTTAAAAGATAATGTAAATATTGAGTTAATTTATTGTTTGATTAGATATTTTTTACAAGGTTACCTTTCAGTTTCGAATTCATTATTATTTGAGAGTACATAATAAAAAGGAATGATTAATATTGTTAAACATTAAAATGTGATAACCTTGAATTCAATGAAACTTTGTCAATTTAATGAGTATATATTTATATATATATGTACTTAATTTTAGATGACAAAATATATTATTTTAAATTAAAAATTATTTTTTCAATAAAAAAAATATAATAATAAAGTATAATAGCAAAATGTTTGTTGAAATTCAAAAAATGTTTATTTAAAAATTAAAACTACATTTTTATATAAATAAATTTGTTTTCATTGTGTAAATAGAAAAATAAAAAAGTTAATAAAAAAAGGATATTCATGGAGAGACATGATAAAAATATAAATTATAAAAAAATTAATGTTTCTTAATTAATGTTTCATTAATAATACAAGCACTGTTCATTTATTAAAATACGCGACTTTCTCAATACAAAAAAAAAAATGGTATTTAATCTCATAATTTTCTCTGAATGCTTTTTTGTTTATTTATAAACGATTTTTAATGAACTCACATAAAAATATATAAAATGATTTTTAAAAAAAAATTGAATCTATGTATATGTAAATTGTGAAATGAAATGAAAATTTTTAATTATTATAATTATTTTAATCGTTTCCTGACACTTGATAAGAAATTTCATTTATTATAACAGTATTTATATTTATAAATATAAATGAGGATAAAAATGAAATATAATTGGTTTACTTGTCTCCTCTACATAATAAATAAACTTATTTTTAGTTTTATATATATATATATATATATATATATATGAAAATTATTTTTATATAGAAATAAAATTTGTTATAAATAATAGTAGGAGAATTTTTCTCATGAAAAATCTTATTTTTATATTAATAAATATTTTTTAACTTTAAATTATTTGAAAAGTTATTTATTGGAAATTTTTTAAATAGTTTAATAAAAAATTCTCCTTGGGAGTCATGTATGAATCAGTATAATATTAAAAGTAAAATTCATCTTAAATGACTAAGATGATTCAGAACAATATGCAGAATTTTTTGTTTCATTCACAAAATATTTTGTTTCAATTATCGTATTGAATATTCTGTAAAAATTGTAATGATAGTTTAAATTAATAGTTGTTTCAAGCATAGATTGAATTTTTATTAATTATATATTCTTTTAGTATGTATATTTTCATGAAATTAAAATTTTATTTAAAATAAATATCAGTTGCAAAATAATTATAATTTTGAAGAATATTTCTGTTTATTTTAAATTTCGGCATAACATTTTTTTATACTACAAATACTAATTTATTATTCAATTGTGATTTAAAAAATAATTCAAACAAGTTTTTATTATTTTATTATTATTATTTCTTATAAATCAAAGAAAAAATCATTTTGTTTTCTGTGTGTTTTTTTTCGTGGGGGTGGGGGGAATTAATAAAAATTCGTGACAATTATTCTAATTTAAAAAATTTTTGTACTTTAATTAAATATTATAATAAATTTTACTAAAAGAATACGTTTGCTTTTATTTTTACAGTGAGTGGCCACAACGCAATTAATTCCTGCCGTATATTTCAAGAGTGGACAAATTAGCTGCGCTTCAGAATGAAACTTGGGAAATGACTGAAAATATATATATAAAAAATATATATATATATATTCTTGGGAATGTATCGAAATCAACGCCAAGTCTCCACTTCCGCCGATTAAAATAAAAACTATTCAGTTCCAAGTGAAATCTGTGATAAGTTTACATATGCACTTATACACTCGCACTAGTATATGGTGTCTTATGTATTACTCACCTGCAAAAAGGAGTCGATGTCACATATTTTATTCTTTCTTTTTTTTTTTTTTCTTTTTGGTGCACTTGACTTGTTTCATTGAACATGAACATATAGAACATTTTGTAGTTCATATTCATTCACTTCGTTTGCTTTGGCGCTTCATCGATCATTCTGTATTTTTTTCTCATTTGTATATATATATTATACATCAACTTTTTTTTTTTATATGTTTATACGTATACATTCGGTACGTAAAAAAAAATGTATAAGTCAGTTTTGTCGCGTCTCGCATCGTTGCCTTTCCCAACGTGTGTCATCGTGTATAAGGATATGTATGACTTGGGAGAAAATAGTTGGCAATCATTTTTTTATTTTTTTCACGAATTCTATATTTCACACACGCAAGAAGTCAAAAAAAAAAAAAAAAAAAAAAAATTTTTTTAAATGAGCTGAAAATTTTGAACGTTCATATGAACGAAATATTTTTTTCAATCTATAAATTATTAAAAATTATGATGACCATGTAAAATAAAAGAGTAAATTAAACAATTATTAAATTAATAACATCTTTTTAGATATTTTAAACAATATTTTGTAATAAAATTCGTAATTAAAGAAGTTGCAAAAAAAATTTCGTTCATATGAAAGTTCAAAACTTTTGGCTCATTAAAAAAAGTTTTTTTTCTGATTTTTCAGTTTTTTTTTTTTCAAATATTTTGTTATATATTAATAGAATCAAAAACAAATATTAGTTTATTATAAATTTGTTAATTTCATTATAAAAATTATCAGATTTTTATTATTGAATTACACTTATACATATAGTTTTGTAACGCATTACACAATATCTGATTAGATTATATGATTCTATTAATTTTGAAAATATTTATCAATTTTGTTACAGAATTGTAACGCATATTTTTTTTTCCAATGGAAATGAATTTTCATAAATTCTTTTAGTTTATATGAAATACTATTTCCTATTTTTGAGGAAAATATTTTCTTTCTATGAAAGAAAAAAAAATAACGTTTCCTTTTTTTTCTGGACCAACAAAAATTTTCTATTATGAATAAATAATTTCTCATTGTGATTTATATAGAAATTCGTAAAAAAAATCAATCCAAAAAGAAAATTTTTGGTAATTAAGAAATCAGCATTTTTTTTCAATAAAGTCCAATTATTTTGAGAATAATAATAAAAAAAAAAATAGGAAAAAAAATAAATATTTAAATAAAAAAGAAAAATTCACTGAAAATTACATAAATAAACGTGACTTTATGTTACAAGAAGATCTTTTGAAAATTAGATAACTTAAAAAACAAGTAACAAATAAGTATAAGAATGAAGCAAGTCAGCTATTAATGAAGCAAGTCATGTTAAGAAAAATAATTTATAATAAAAAAAATCAAGCAATCGGCTAATGAAGTGAAATATTTAATGAAGGAAATAACTATTACAATATTTACGCAATAAAATAAATTAAATTCCAATCAGAATTTTCAGTCTCGTAAATGTAAGTTACTCTTCTTTATATATATATATATAATTATATATAAATAATTTCTTTTTTTAAATATAAAGATTGCCAGTATTAATTTCCGTGTCAACATCAAGTAGCGTTAAAAGTTTTTTTTTGTGATTTTTGTCATCATCAGTGTGATTTCATAATTTGTAAATAGTTATCATTTATCGTTCATAAATACTAATATCATTGCACACATCGTTTTTTCATGTAACATTGTATTTATTATCACGATTTATATTTAAAAAAAAAGCGTTATCGATTATATATTACATTATGTGTGCGTAAAACCAGGATTCTATAATAAAGTCCTCGTGTCCTTCGCATTATTTTTTTTTTTCGAGATAAACTATCGCTGAATACCGATGTTAAATCGGTAAGTGATATTCTGTGATCGGTATTCGCACCGAAAGCAAAAAAAAAAAAAAAATATTTTATTTCGAGTACGATTTTTTTTATACGATGGTGTACCTCTGTAATGTAAGTCTCGTTTTATAGTAAAGAAAAAAAGGCAGCAGCCACCCTGAACGAATCTCATGTTTTCAAAAACAGAAAGAGATGTCGATCAAAAATATTTTTTCTTGGTTTTTACACTCTTTTGTCAGCATCTCTTTCTTTCTTTCTTTCTTTTTAGGGGGGGGGGGGGAGGTTGTAATTGTGCCGCTTACTTTTAACACTATTTGTTCAACGGAAGTATTTTTTTTTTAAATTAAAAATAGAAAAAAAAAACCGAATCATGAGGAAAAATCGAAAAAAAATTTTTAAAAAGTGAGTAAACCTAGAATAAAAATGTGAAATAAATGAAAATTGAATATAGTGAGGATTGAAAAAAAAAAAATGAGAATAAAGAGAAAATTTGTTGTATAATTAAAAAGTAGAAATGAATTTCGAATGTCAGTATCAAATTAAAATTTTGAGAAATAATAATAAAAATGTTTGCATAAAAAAAAATGATTATTTTATTCATTGATAAAAATTTGATTTTAATTAAATTTAAAATTAAATTCACTTTTTTTTTTTTGTTTTTATTTCTCAAAATAAACGAATTTTACATGCCCTTATAGTACATTAATTTTTATAGTGGAGTGATCAAGAAAAACAGAGTGAAAACAAAATAATTACATATAATAATATGTTAGAGAGAAAATGTAATATTGTCATTTGTTTGTTCGTTTCATTTTTTTTTTTTTTTTTTTTTTATTATCAATGAAAGAGAGTGATTTTTGTTTTTCAATGATGATAGCGTTTTCTCATTATTTAGCACGTATTAGAAATTATGTAACGATTGCGTATATGCACAGGCGATACTTTGGTAGCTACTATATACATTAGATAGAGGGAGAAAAGAAAATTGCGAAATTCTCAAAGACCAACGACATTCGATTTAGCATTCAAACTCGCTACAGAAATTTCTCGTGTTTGGCAACATCGGCTTCCATCTTGGTCGTCGATATTGCATTGCCCGAGAGAGCTTTACGTGCAAATGTTCACATTCGAAAGCAAACACAAGGCTGTGCGATATTTTTGAGAGACTTTCCTTCAGTAAGAAATTGTATATTTTCGTTTTACGTCTTGAGAATTTTGTTAAATTTCCAAAATATTGTCAATTTTTTTTTTTTTCAAGTTTTTTGTTTTTTATTTGTAATCGAAAAGAAAAAGCTTGAAAAAAATGTTTTAAACAATATTTTATACAAATTTTGTGTCAATAAATTGAAATTAACTAATTCAAATTGGTGAAAATTTTTACTAATTTTAATATTTCAACTCAAAAATATTGAAAACAATTTGAATTAATGAATTTCAAATTTAGTGATTATTTCTCTCAAGTGGCAAAAAAAAAAAATATATTTATAGTGCCTCATGTGTGAATATTGTGCCCCATTGTAAAAAACAAAAAAAAAAAAACTACGTCAATTGACATTATTCTAATGTTGATAAAAAAAAATACGCTCAATATGTTCAAACATTATAATGACTGCGAAATATACTTCTGATACTGATTATATCATAATATATAAAGTTATTGCGACGAGCCAAAAACGGGTGGCGCTCCATAAGAGTGTATAAGGTTATAGAAAATAGAGAACAAGAGCTCGAAACCGTTTTTTTTTTGTGACGGGATTAGAATAATTAAATAAGTGTCGAAATTTTTGCCTATAGGTTATTTTGTAACCTTGTTAGCATACATTTTTCTATATAATAAATATTTCTACACAAATATCTTTTTTATTTTTTTTCATATATAACACACACTCACCTATATTTAGAATTAAGTCATATTTGATAAAGAAGAAGAAAAAAAGTCAATTTTTTTTTTTTTTTTCTATAAAACAAGGTGTAAAATCATTCGAGGTAAATTAAAATAAAATTTGAAATTCTAAAATTCTCATCAAAGTAAAAAAAAAAAAAAAAAAAAAAAAAATTAAATAGATAAAATAATTGTACAGGTCATGGACACATTGCGATTTTATTAAATTCATCCTTCAAAACCACACCAGCAATAAATGGAATTTTTAATCTACCGAACGGTCATTGAACTCAAAATCATCAAATCAGAACAGCTTTTGATTCTCAGACACAAGAGTTCAATGATCGTCCTGTTGAAATGGAAAATTTTTTTTTTCATTCTATGTGTATAAAAAAATATCCTGACTCTAAAATTCTACACAAGAATTATTATTAATTTTTTTTTTTTTTTTTGAAACGGAAATGAATAAAATTAAGTAAAAAGTATTTATTGGGATTTTTATGCATTTTTTACTTTTAAAAATAATGAAGAGAAAAAAAAAAAGAAATTCAGGCAAATTTTGAAAATATACTTGAGAATCGCGCGCTATCAAAACCTTTGTGAGTATCAAATGTGTCCTTGGTGATGGAAAAAAAAGAGACGTCTTTAAAGCTTAGTTACACACTAGAATACTGATAAACTCTTGAAAAAGAAGGAAACAAAATCTCAATGCCTCGAAAATCTTTCTCATTGAAGGTGAAATGGAAAGAAACTACAAGGAAATAATTGTTAAAGAATTATTTTTCGAATAGAAATATTGTACTTAAAAATTAATTTGAAAATTATCAATAATAATCTGATATTAAAGAAAAATTTAATTTTTATAATAATCCGGCAGCTCTAAAAGGATTTTTTATTTTAAAATTGATTCAATGAATTAAATTTTTAATTAAATTCCAAAATGAATTGAAATAAAAAATTTTCAATAAATTTACTGCAATTTTCAATGTCTGGAAAAAGTTCAATTTGAAAAAAAAGTGAAATTTTTTATGTTTCGAGAAGAATTTCTTCTGTTTTTTTTTAAGTAAAAAATAATTTTTTTAACAAAATTAGTTTTCTATTTATTTAGTTATTTATTTATTTTTTTTTTTTTATGAAAAAAATCTAGAATATTTCAAGTGGTGTGTATATTATTGGAAAACTCCAAATGCAGAATCTGCGGGGATGTAGCAATTCAGGATCAGTGGACCGAGGTCAGGTATTTGTATGAAGGACGATTTCTGGTTACAAACGGACTTATCAGGGCTTTGACAAGGTCTCGAATTGTAATACAAATTCCTAAATATAAATAAAATTAGTATTTTAGTGAATAATCTGGTTTTATATTGTGTATATATATACCAATTTAGAAAAATATAAAAATTTCAATTTCTCAAGTTCTAATTTT